TGACTGACTGCGGGTAGACGACCTGTTTGTTTGACCTCCTTGTGTACACGCCGTGTGTTGCCAGAGACTGACTGCGGGTAGACGACCTGTTTGTTTGACCTCCTTGTGTACACGCCGTGTGTTGCCAGTGACTGACTGTGGGTAGACGACCTGTTTGTTTGATCTCCTTGTGTACAAGCCGTGTGTTGCCAGTGACTGACTGCGGGTAGACGGCCTGTTTGTTTGACCTCCTTGTGTACACGCCGTGTGTTGCCAGTGACTGACTGCGGGTAGACGACCTGTTTGTTTGACCTCCTTGTGTACACGCCGTGTGTTGCCAGTGACTGACTGCGGGTAGACGACCTGTCTGTTAGACCTCCTTGTGTACACGCCGTGTGTTGCCAGAGACTGACTGCGGGTAGACGGCCTGTTTGTTTGACCTCCTTGTGTACACGCCGTGTGTTGCCAGTGACTGACTGCGGGTAGACGGCCTGTTTGTTTGACCTCCTTGTGTACACGACGTGTGTTGCCAGTGACTGACTGTGGGTAGACGACCTGTTTGTTTGACCTCCTTATGTACACGCCGTGTGTTGCGAGTGACTGACTGTGGGTAGACGACCTGTTTGTTTGACCTCCTTGTGTACAAGCCGTGTGTTGCCAGTGACTGACTGCGGGTAGACGGCCTGTTTGTTTGACCTCCTTGTGTACACGCCGTGTGTTGCCAGTGACTGACTGCGGGTAGACGACCTGTCTGTTAGACCTCCTTGTGTACACGCCGTGTGTTGCCAGTGACTGACTGCGGGTAGACGACCTGTCTGTTTGACCTCCTTATGTACACGGCGTGTGTTGCCAGTGACTGACTGCGGGTAGACGACCTGTTTGTTTGACCTCCTTGTGTACACGCCGTGTGTTGCCAGTGACTGACTGCGGGTAGACGACCTGTTTGTTTGACCTCCTTATGTACACGCCGTGTGTTGCCAGTGACTGACTGCGGGTAGACGATCTGTTTGTTTGACCTGCTTATGTACACGCCGTGTGTTGCCAGTGACTGACTGCACGTAGACGACCTGTCTGTTTGATCTCCTTGTGTACACGCCGTGTGTTGCCAGTGACTGACTGCGGGTAGACGACCTGTTTGTTTGACCTCCTTGTGTACAAGCCGTGTGTTGCCAGTGACTGACTGCGGGTAGACGGCCTGTTTGTTTGACCTCCTTGTGTAAACGCTGTGTGTTGCCAGAGACTGACTGCGGGTAGACGACCTGTTTGTTTGACATCCTTGTGTACACGCCGTGTGTTGCCAGTGACTGACTGTGGGTAGACGACCTGTTTGTTTGATCTCCTTGTGTACAAGCCGTGTGTTGCCAGTGACTGACTGCGGGTAGATGGCCTGTTTGTTTGACCTCCTTGTGTACACGCCGTGTGTTGCCAGTGACTGACTGCGGGTAGACGACCTGTTTGTTTGACCTCCTTGTGTACACGCCGTGTGTTGCCAGTCACTGACTGTGGGTAGACAACCTGTCTGTTAGACCTCCTTGTGTACACGCCGTGTGTTGCCAGTGACTGACTGCGGGTAGACGACCTGTCTGTTTGACCTCCTTATGTACAAGCGGTGTGTTGCCAGTGACTGACTGCGGGTAGACGACCTGTTTGTTTGACCTCCTTGTGTACACGCCGTGTGTTGCCAGTGACTGACTGCGGGTAGACGACCTGTTTGTTTGACCTCCTTATGTACACGCCGTGTGTTGCCAGTGACTGACTGCGGGTAGACGATCTGTTTGTTTGACCTGCTTATGTACACGCCGTGTGTTGCCAGTGACTGACTGCACGTAGACGACCTGTCTGTTTGATCTCCTTGTGTACACGCCGTGTGTTGCCAGTGACTGACTGCGGGTAGACGACCTGTTTGTTTGACCTCCTTGTGTACACGCCGTGTGTTGCCAGTGACTGACTGTGGGTAGACGGCATGCACGAAGTCACCAACACACAACATAGGCTGAACAAGGAAATATTTGTCATGTTTGTGTTACCTTACATTCATTGTTTACAAACTATTCATTGACAAAATGTTCAGCCGCATATGAAAAATCTCTGTTATTCATCAAATACAATTCATGACAACTGACATTATATTAACTTGACTTCACCCACTCAGGATATAATCAGCCTTAATCTACGACTGCTTTCATAAAGGTAGATTAGTGGAGAAGTGATATCTACAACAGAAACATGTAGAGCCCAATTATGATGCGGTGTCTTACACACAACGTAACACATACAAACTATTTAATTTGCTTCCGGGTCCTATTTCATTCTGTGAAAATGCAAATACAAAGAGCTTCAACAACTGATGGGGCTGCCCACTCGGTAATTCTCGGGGAACCGACGTACGTATATGTTGAGGTGACTGTGTGTGTGCGCGCGTGCTCCAGCGTGTGTGGTGTGGATAAGTGCATGTGTGTTGTTCTGAAGACATGTCTGTTCATTAAAATGTGCTCCAAAACGCACCCGGAGCCTATAGATCGCACTTCTCGTGCACTCGTGTTAGTGTTAAATACAGAATCTGTTCTCCAAAACCACCCGATGCATAACGATCGCATCGCCTGAACGCACAAACGTATGGCTGTGACTGCACGTGAAATGTGTGGGTTGTGAGCAAATATAAGGCGGTAGCGCGCATCAGTTAGTTACTTGGTCAGAATTCGTTAATTAGATGGTTAGTTAGATGGTTAGAAAGTTGGTCATAGTTCGCTATAGAGCTGGTTAGAGAGTTCGCTAGATGAATAGTTAGATGGTTAGAGAGAGAGAGAGAGAGAGAGAGAGAGAGAGAGAGAGAGAGAGAGAGAGAGAGAGAGAGAGAGAGAGAGAGAGAGAGATGGCAGAATGTTCGTTAGAGAGCTGATGAGTTAGATAGTGTTAGAGTGTTTTAAGACTTCCTTAGGAGTAGCAGTTAGAATTAGCATTTAGTTTCTATCATTTGAGGTTTATTCATCTTTTCTTCATATAATAACAGGTAATCACGTTTAGTTCCTCATAGATCTTCATAGTTTTATAATAGGTTATCACGTTTAGTTCCTGGTTTCATTCAAAAAAGGTAAGTCATACAAATTTTAGATTAGTCTTCATTTTAAGTTAAACCACGCTCAAATATTCAGTTCCACTGCGCAACATTTGGTAGCAGAGCGTGGTTTCTCTGGTTAGAATATTTTAGTTTTGTATTAGGCTTTCGTTAGTTTAGATTAGCATTTGGTATAGCTGACTGTTACATGCAAGCAGTATGTCGCAGTTAGGGTCTGCGAGTAAGGCGGAGGTAGAAAAGGATACTTCTTCAGACGTAGCGCTGAAACAGTACGCTTCTTCAGACGTAGGACTAAAACAGAACAATTCTGAACTTGAGCTAAAGATAGCTAAACTTAAGCATCAGAAAACTATTTCAAAGGCAGCTTTGACAAAATCAAAGAACAAATTGTTGAATTTAGTTGAACTTGAGACACCAGATCGTAAGACAATTAGGAGTCTAATTGATCAGGTAAGTTTTCTGCAAAGCAAGGCTATAGGTCTCATAGTGGAATTACTAGAAGCTTACAACTGGGTTGGTGACCTAGAGAAAGTTCAGAAAACTAGTAAGGAGATAGAAACTGTTGAAGATGAAATTGAACTTGCCCTTGATAAGGCTGAAGCATTTCTTAAGGACAGATCACATGTTAGTTCGGACGCAAAAAGCATTCAGTCAGAAATGTTAAGGTCTCGCCAATTCGATGCGAATCGGTCGCATGATAGCTGTAAAGGTTTGTTGCACGATGCAGACTTGGACAGTGATGGCGCTGGGCAAATCAGTAACCAAGGTTACAAACATGCTGCGTTCAAGTTAGGCCATTTTCAACAAAGGTCATATATGGATATGAAACGTACACCAGTCCCAGATAACACAAAAGGTTGTTATACAACTTCAGGTAAGTCATCTAGGCAACACAATTTAGGTGAAGACATGTGGAAACAATTGAAGAGAGTTTCCATTCCAGTATTTTCTGGTGACGTCAGAGAATATGAAGGCTGGAAGTCTGCTTTTATGGCATGTGTTGATAAAGCTCCAGCCACCAATGAATATAAACTTCTGCAATTGAAGCAGTACCTTTCTGGAGAAGCAGCACACATAGTTGCAAGGCTAGGTCACAGTGCTTCAGTCTATGATGTAGCCTTGGAGAGATTGGACAGAAAAATATGGCGGCAAGAGACGCCAGGTAGCATTACAATTGGACGAAATATACAATTTCAAGCCAATACGATTAGGGAATGCTAAGGATATGGACAAATTTGCGGACATGCTTGATGTAGCTGTAGTCAGTCTGAGGGAATCTGATAAAATAGAGGAACTTGGTAGTGGATGTTTGTATTCACTACTGGTTAAGAAAATGAATGAGCCTATGATTACTCAGTTCCACAGATGGTTATTTGAGCACCAAAGACAAGAGTCTGTTGAGACGCTTAGGGAATGGATTCTGCAAGAAGCAGAGTTCCAAACAATAGCTTCAGAGGTAAAACATGGAATAGCTGATAGGTCAAAGACAACAGACAAGAGAGATAGTTCTAAGAAAGGAACATTTGCAATCACACATAATAAAACTAGGGCAAGGCAATGTCATGTGTGTCATGTCGCAGATCATGACACTTCAGATTGCATAGAGTTTAAATCTATTGGCCTACCTAAACGCTGGGAAAGGGCAAAACAGTTAGGTTTATGCTTTCGTTGCCTTGATATCGGTCATCTGGGAAGATCGTGTAGCAGAGTTTTGAAGTGTGGGATTGATGGCTGTAAAGCAAATCATAACAGGTTACTTCATGATCAAACCAAAGTTACAAGCAGTGCTAGGGCCGACAGTGGTAATGTAGAGATGAAACATACAACAAGAACACCACAAGCAGGTAGGTCAGAAACAATCACCATGGCAACTTCTAAGCAGGAAGGTCATTACCTTTCACTTAGAACAGTTCCTGTTATCCTTAAAAATGGTCAGCACAGAATGATGGTTAATGCCTTGCTGGATGATGCCAGCACGCATACTTACATCAACGAGGATGTAGCAGCAGAACTTGGTGTTCAAGGTCAGACACAGCAAGTGTCAGTCAATGTCCTCAATGACAAACAGGAAATATTTGATAGTATGCTAATTGATATCGGCTTAGAAAGTACTGATGGTTCAGTTGACATGAACATCACAGCTTTGACAACTACCAAGGTAACGGGTAGAATGGAAGTCATTGATTGGCGAAAACATGCCAAGGAATGGCCACATTTGACGAAAATAAAATTTCCAAAGGTAAGTTCACGTCCAAGAGTTGACATCCTGTTAGGTATGGATTATTTAGAGCTGCATTCCTCTCTTAAAGAGGTGCGTGGAGCTCAGGGAGAGCCTGTGGCTCGGTTGACACCCTTAGGTTGGACCTGTGTTGGTGCTGTATCAGGTTCAGACAAAACAACACACTTAGCAGGTTCCTTCTTCATCAGAAATACAGAAATAGAAGCAATCGCAGATACAGATATTGAATCTTTGATTCACTCATTTTGGGAGTCTGAAAGCATTTCAGGTTTGACATCGATTAGAAGCATTGATGAGAATGATGCAGTTAAGGCTGTAGAACAGTCCCTTGTTTACAGAAAAGACAAATATCAGGTTGGCATTCCATGGAAGGAGGGTCATGAGAATCTGAAAAACAATTATGACATGGCATACAATCGTCTTCTTAATTTAGAAAAGAAGTTGTCAAAGGATCAAACGATTTCAGGAGCCTACAATGAAGTCATAGAACAATACCTGAAAAAAGGTTACATCAGAAAAGTACCTGAAACAGAAATAGATCAAAGTAAATGGTACTTACCACATTTTCCAGTCATTAAACCAGACAGAAGTACAACAAAGGTGAGAATCGTATTCGATGCATCTGCAAAGAATAAAGGCATATCTCTAAATGATGTCATTCATCAAGGACCAAAACTCCAGAATGATCTATTCGAGATCTTGCTGCGGTTTCGCAAACATCCTGTTGCAATCATTTGCGATATTGCTGAAAAGTACCTTCAAATTGAAGTCGCTCAGGATGACCGTCCATATCTAAGGTTTCTTTGGAGGTCAATGGATCTGAACAAAAAGCCAGATGTGTTTGAGTTCTCAAAGGTTGTATTTGGACTAAATTGTTCCCCCTTTTTAGCTCAGTTTATCACTCAGGAACATGCTAAGTCCATGGAGAAAGAACTTCCATTGGCTGCAGCAACCGTGGAAAAGTCAACATATATGGATGACAATATGGATTCCGTTGACACAAATAGTAAAGCTATAGAGCTTTACAAACAGCTGCAACAGCTGTGGAGTACAGCAGGTATGCACGCTCGTAAGTGGGTTTCCAATTCCGTTCAAGTTCTCCAAGAAATACCAGAAGAGGATAGATTGAAAGAGATTAATATTCAAATGAGTGAATTGCCATCTGTAAAAGCACTGGGCTTACTGTGGAATGCAGAATCAGATGAGTTTAGGTTTTCTTTCATGTCCTTAAAGCAGGATATCAAGATGACTAAGAGGAACTTCTTGAAAGAAACTGCTAAGCTGTTTGATCCTCTTGGGTTCTTAGGTCCATTCATCATTAGGGCAAGGGTTCTTCTGCAAGAAATGTGGATATCCGGTGTTAACTGGGATGAAACCCTCAGTCCAGGTCTGGAACAAAAAGCATGGTCATGGTACCTTGAAATTGAAAAGTTGTGTTCTGTTAAAATTCCAAGGGGGCTTGAGGTTAGCTTAGATACTTCAAAGATGAAGTTGCACACATTTGTAGATGCTTCAGAGGCAGCATTTGGAGCTGTGGTATATTTAGTAACCACTCGTGAAGATGACACAAAGTCGAGTTATCTAGTTGCTTCAAAGTGCCATGTTGCTCCCCTCAAGGCAGTTAGTATGCCTCGATTGGAGCTGCTTGCGGCAGTTCTGGGTGTACGACTGTTACTGGCTATAACAAAGGCATTAGAATTACCTTTGCAGCGTGCAACGCTATGGTCAGACAGCCAGAACGTACTGTGGTGGATCAAAAGACAGAGTCGGTGTTTTAAGCCATTTGTAGCAAATAGGATTGGATACATACAGGAGCATACAAACATCAGTCAGTGGAAATACGTACCATCCAAACTGAATGCTGCAGACATTCTTAGTAGAGGTGTAGATGCTGAAGCACTTTTGACAGAGAAATGGCTGAATGGACCTGAATTTGTGACACATGATGAAACCGAATGGCCGAAGCAGACCATTGACATGGACAATACTGAGACATCAGAACTGAAGAAGCCTTCTTCTCAAGTAAACATCGCCATGTTTACTAAATCTGATCCAATCTCGTGGAGATTAGCGCCATCTAGATTTTCAAGTTGGAAGAGATTGTGTAGAGTGTCGGCATGGATCTATAGGTTTCTGAACAACGCTAGGGTTCCATATTCACTTAGGAAAAAGGGTGAACTTGATCCTGAAGAAATTGAGGACGCCGAAACTACAATTATGGTCAGGACTCAAAGAGACGAATTTTCTGATGACTATTCGTCACTGATGAGGAAATCAAACTTGCCTTCAAACAGCAAGTTGTTTGGCTTACAGCCTTACGTTGATAAAAATGGGTTAATGAGGACAGGAGGGAGACTCAGATTTGCTGACGTATTGTCATTCAGTGCCAGATTTCCAATTATACTCCCTAGACATAGTTGGGTCACCAAACTGATTGTCAAGTTTTACCATGAGCAGGTCAATCACACAGGTACGAACAGTACGTTATCAGCAGTGTCATCCAGGTTTTGGATTATTTCAGCTAGAGAGGAAATTCGTCAGTGGGAAAGAGAATGTTCTTTGTGTAGACGACAAAAAGCCAAACCAGCGCATCAGATAATGGCAGACCTACCGAAGATCAGAGTGAGGTGTACAATGAAAGCATTTGTGACAACAGGTGTGGACTATGCAGGTCCCTTTTTCACTGTACAGGGTCGAGGCAAGAGTCGACAGAAACGTTATCTCTGCCTTTTCACATGTTTGTCAACCCGAGCGGTTCATTTAGAAATGGCATTCGGTTTAGACACGGATTCCTTTCTGAATGCCCTGTTTCGTATGGCTCACAGACGAGGTATGCCAAAGGAGGTAATCTCGGACAACGGAACCAACTTTGTTGGTGCTGCAAAGGAGCTGAAGCAGCTCATTTCAGGACTAAACTCGGATGTGATTAAGTCAACCTTGGCAAACAAAAGTGTGAAGTGGTTGTTTAATCCTCCACACGCACCATATTTTGGAGGTGTTTTCGAGTCTTTAGTGAAGTCAGCAAAACGGGCTATCTATGCTATACTGAGTTCAGGTGACGTCAGTGATGAAGAGCTGATGACAGCCTTTACAGGAGCTGAAGCTCTTCTGAATTCTAGGCCTTTGACCTATCAAAGTGCACATCCACAGGATGATGTGCCTCTTACGCCCAACCATTTCCTACATGGTCAGGTGGTTGGAGATTTCGCACCAGAGTTAGACTCTACCTCGTTCAGCCCAAAGAAGCGATGGAGGAGAGTTCAAGAACTCATCAGACATGTGTGGAAACGATGGATGAGGGAGTGGCTCCCGACTCTCAACATCAGAAAGAAGTGGTTCACACCATCCAGAGATATACAGGTCGATGACGTTGTAATTGTGGTATCTCCAGATACTCCTCGTGGAGTTTGGCCTCTTGGCAGAGTTCTCAAAACGTATCCTGGAAAGGATGATCACGTTCGCGTTCTTGATGTTCAAGTTGGCAAAACAGTCTTGAAAAGACCTATCACGAAGGTCTGCCCTCTTGAATGGAGTTGAGTTCTGAAATAGTCAAATTGGATAACAGCAACAAATGTACATACTCATAGATTCAGTTTCCTTTCAGTTTCTTCTAAGTTTAGTCGGTTTTCATGATAGACATGGATCTATCATGGAGGGGGGCGTGTTCTGAAGACATGTCTGTTCATTAAAATGTGCTCCAAAACGCACCCGGAGCCTATAGATCGCACTTCTCGTGCACTGGTGTTAGTGTTAGATAAAGAATCTGTTCTCCAAAACGCACCCGATGCATAACGATCGCATCGCCTGAACGCACCAACGTATGGCTGTGACTGCACGTGAAATGTGTGGGTTGTGAGCAAATATAAGGTGGTAGCGCGCATCAGTTAGTTACTTGGTCAGAATTCGTTAATTAGATGGTTAGTTAGATGGTTAGAAAGTTGGTCATAGTTCGCTATAGAGCTGGTTAGAGAGTTCGCTAGATGAATAGTTAGATGGTGAGAGAGAGAGAGAGAGAGAGAGAGAGAGAGAGAGAGAGAGAGAAGAATGTTCGTTAGAAGGTTCGTTAGAGAGCTGATGAGTTAGATGGTGTTAGAGTGTCAGAGTGTTTTAAGACTTCCTTAGGAGTAGCAGTTAGAATTAGCATTTAGTTTCTATCATTTGAGGTTTATTCATCTTTTCTTCATATAATAACAGGTAATCACGTTTAGTTCCTCATAGATCTTCATAGTTTTATAATAGGTTATCACGTTTAGTTCCTGGTTTCATTCAAAAAAGGTAAGTCATACAAATTTTAGATTAGTCTTCATTTTAAGTTAAACCACGCTCAAATATTCAGTTCCACTGCGCAACATGTGTAATTTGTGTTTTTCTGTTTTTTCTTTTTGCTTTTTGTTTGTTTTCGTTTTTGTTGCTTTTGTCTTGATGCTTTTTTTGTGCTTTTTTTTTTTTTTTTTTTTGGGGGGGGGGGGGTCTTTTTGAAGTTGTAGAGAGTAGTGCGGTTTCGAGGTGGGGTTCTTGGTTGTAGTGATGAGGAAGTGCAGGGAGGTGGATGTCTAAGGATGAGTGATGGCAGGTGTTTTGTTGTGAAGGGGCAGGTATAGTTGGGAAGGTATAGTGTAGTATATCTACGTTTGATGGGTACGAATGTTTACTTTTGTCATGATCCTTGTAATGTAGGCACCATACTTGTAACCGTGTGTTACCGAGGTCAACGTGTACAACTTGCGTCACCATGAAGCTGTCAATCAGTGATACGACTGAACTAGTGCAGGTTACTATGTGCCGGTACGTCTAGCCCTGTGTGTTGGACCCACTTGACAGAACCAAGGAAACAGGTCATTTGATGTTTTAGGTATCTATATGCACATTACTCAGGAGTCAGAGTGTTTGTATTTAGAAACTTGTCTTCCTCCTATCCCCACAGTCACGCGGTTCCACTGCGACATAACAACAACGTTCTATAATGGGATGACATTCACATATTTAGATACGTGTTTCTCTTTCCTTGATGAAACCACCCATCGGTGTGTGTCAGTCAATCTTACAATATCTGTCAAGTAGGACATACATAGTTGTCTCCCATTACACCGTCAGTTTGCATGTGGCGTGGCGTACCAGTACATGTTGGTCTAACCCTCAGCCCGAAGTCAGTGTTCAGATCAATACAGAAGCGTGTGCAGTATGATATTGGTGATGGGTGGGTTTGGGAGTTTGTGTGGCTTAGGGTTGCCTGTTGTTTTACCGCCTCACCCATATTCTAGGTATACGACCCGCACAACAACAAATCAACCGTGAGACAGACAAATCAGTGATTTATATTATGAGCAGCGATGCACGCAATCAATGTATGATGACAATCACGTGTAAACCGCTCATTACGATTTAAGGAATATGTTTATATAGAAAACGTACAAATCTACACTTCTTTACTCGTGGGATATGTGATTCTTTGATCTGTGACTTTGATATATTGATCGTTTTATCAGCAATGTGTTGCTTTGTATTCTTTTCGTCCTCAGTTTTAATGTAATGTGTTTTTGTCAGTTGTGTCATGGATAAATAACTATATTGCTTTACTGGAAACATATTGTGAGTCATCCCCATCACTGTAAGTCATCCTCACCTTGGTATACATTAATACATTTTCCAATATCACGTGGTTCAAGATGTGTTGTCTCTAACGCTTGATATACCAGGATGCAATAAACGGCTGCAGCAACATGTGTACCAGTATAATTATGAAATTTGATATTCCGTGGGAGACCAAATAACACTGTTTTGCCAGTGTCTCCTTGCTTTTCTGTGTGATCTGTGTGAAAAATAGGGAATAATCGGAAATACATCCGTCGCTCATCATGGCAGGAGAGGTTCGATTCATATCAAGGGCAATCTTACAGCTCAACGATACATCCACGAAATTCTACTTCAACAAATATTTCCAACGGCAACGGTGTTTTCCAGCAAAACAGAGCTCGACCGCATACAACACGGATCACAAGAGCCTGTCTACACACAATGTTCATGTTCTCCCTGGCCCTCCAGATCCCCGGATTTGAACACCATAGATCACCTGTGGGATGAATTGGATAGACGGCTACGCCGACGTCAACCACAACCCCAGACGTTGCACCTGTTGACTTTTGCGTTGCAGGATGAGTGGGCAACCTTTCCCCAGGATGTGATTCACATACTCGTCTCTTCCATGGGCATAATATGTCAGGCCGCTATAGATTCGAACATAAGCGTTTTTGATGGTAGCTGATTTCACCATTGGACTTTTCCATATGTACCGATAATTGAGATGACTACAATCACCAAGTATTCGCTCTTCAATACCTTGTACGGTTCCTCGTAAAAATGCGTTTTCCTACCTCATACAAATCTGGCTTTGTGTTTCTTTTTTTTGAGCAGTACATATACTTTTTAGCTATAGTTGTATACTAATTATGATAATGAAAGAATGGTAAATACATTACAACCGGTATTGAAAGATGACAGTAGATGTGATGACCGCCACCGACCATGAAGGACGATAGGGGCACGTCTTGAGATTTCAATGTTGACGTTTTTGGATCGGTAGTAGATACAGCCATGATTCATTCACTCTATGGTGAATATTGCGTATGATTCTCGTGGCGATTCGAGGCAGTCTGTTCTATGTCTCTTGCAACACCTGGCCAAGTTCATCTCACGTAGTCGGCGGCCTCTTACTATCGTATACCAGACGTGTTCAACTGGAAAAAAGTCTGGGCTCATTGTTGGTCATGGTATTCCAAGGATGTTGTGCTGCTGATTCGTGAGCTCTGTCGTTGTCGCCCTGAAGACAAAACGTCCACACACACGTCTTGCAACTGGGACAACGCAGTACTGTCCATGGAACATTCCTTGCACAATATGGGGCTTGGTCAGTCAAAGTGATGCCACTCGACATCATAACTGATCCACTGTCAAATCTGTCTTGATGTCTCGAGTCGACATTACAAACTGGTGTCAGATACTCCTGACACATTCATCCATTTTCCTTCTCCACAATACACCATATAGCATCATAACGCAGCCTCTGATCTTTACATTCCCCAGATGTGTCTGGATCTCCTCTGAAACATCTGCAGCTTTATTTACGTCTGTACTATTCCATATGTGCATGCACTCATATCTGACAAAACAGCTGATCAAGTGCACAGCCTTGCACGAACTGTCGCACATCTGTCCTGTCGCCATTCAACAGACACGGAAGGAGAATCGAACCTGGGTTTTCGGTGTAAGAGAACAATATAACCATAAGGCTACCCCGTCGCCCCTTGAGTAATGTACATGAGCTTATCGGAAATTGATATAAGTAAATTGTACTGCAGTATTTGTGATCAATTATGGAATAGTAATGAATGTTCATTCTCACAGGTTACATGTACACATGAACATTAATTAAGCACCACAATCCGATTCCCAAAACACATATACCTTATGGATTACTTTGGCTGCCAGGTGGAAGCTATAGACCTTCCTGTGTAAAATCTGAATTAATTGACCCAGGCACTGCATTTTGAAGGACAGGTGATCAAAATTTTGAACATAAAACCTTTGATCAGCAGCATCAAG